CTATTCAGTCATTTGGTCATCCCTCCTGCCAGCTTGGTCACACCATGCAGCCTGCCCTTGATCAGAATCGAATTCAGAACCCATCAGTCCACAGGCTCTATCCATCGAGCCAAGGCCAGGGCTCATTCTGATATTTAAATGGAAAGACAAAGAACCTGGAATATAAAAATGATTTTAAAAAGGAAGAACAAAATTCTTCAAAATTTTATAATCTGGTTTAAGACTTTACTAGAAAACTATAGTAATCAAGAGAGTCTGGTATGACATAAGGATGGATGTATATAAACTAGAGGCCCAGTGCACGAAATTCTTGCATGGGATGGGGTGGGGCGTGCCTTAGCCCTGTCTTCACCCTCTCCAAACCGGGACCCTTCGGGGGATGTCTGACTGCCTCTCGCAATCTGGGACTACTGGCTCCTAACCACTCGCCTGTCTGCCTGATTGCCCATAACCCCTCTGCCTGCCTGCCTGATCGCCCCTAATTGCCTCTGTCTCACCCCACACCTAGGGCCCAGAATTCCCTCCTCCGGCCAGCCGCAGGCACCCAAGACCCCGGCCGGCTTTGCCCTGGCCAGCCTCAGCCATAGGGGACCGCAGGGTGGGTGGCTTGTCCCTCTCCCGGGCTGCAACCTCAGGCACTGGCTTGTCCTTCTCCCAGGCCACAATCTGGCCAGTCCCCATTCCTCTCTCACAAGCTCATTTGTGCCTGGTTGGTCCCCATTTCTATCTTGTGAGCTCATTTGTGCTTGGCTGGTCCTCATACCTCTCTCCCCAGTGTTAAGTGTCTGCATGAGGGAGTGACAACCATTTGCATGTTACCTCTTTATTATATAGGAGGATAAGCATTGAGAGTTCAGAAATGACCCAACTCTAAAGGTCAACTTGGTCGACATTTTTGTATCCTCACCGTAGGACTTGTATCCATTGATTCTACAGAGAGAGGAAGGGAGAAAGAGAAACCTCCCCCACATACCCCTACTGGGAACTAAACCCACAACCTGGGTATGTGCCCTAACTGGGATTCGAACCTGAGACCTTTGGTACATGGGAAGACACTCTAACCAAATGAGCCACACCAGCCACGTTAGGATCAACTAGTGTTTGACAGAGGTACCAAAGTTACATAGAAAAGAATGGGTTTATCAATGAATGATGCTGAAATTACTGGATATCCTTTCCCTCAAATCAAATACAAAAATTAATTCAAAAAGGATCATAGTCCTAATTGTAAAGGCTAAAGCCATGAAATTGTAAAATAAAAATTTCTAAGAGAAAATCTTTATGACCTTGGATTAGGTAAGGATTTATTAGGATACAAAAATCACAAGCCACAGAAGAAAAAGTTGCTAAATTGGACTTTATCAAACTTAAAGTCTTTACTCATGGAAAGACATCACTAAAAATGGAAAGACAAGGCACAAATTGGGGGGAAAAATACTTGGCACACACATATCTAACAAAGGACTTGTATATAGAATATATAAAGAACTTTTATAACTCAGTAAGAAGACTAATCGAATTTTACAGAGGAGGCTAAAGAATTGAACAGACACTATACAAAAGAATATATGCAGTTGTCCTTAAGAACATGAAATGATGCTCTCAACATGTTAGTTATTAGGCAAATGGAAATTCACATCAAGAGAAAGAGAGAGATAGAAAAGAAAATATTTTAGGTCAAAGGAAGGTTGTTTGTGTTTGTTTTAGGATAGAACTGACTTAACAACTCAAATACATATCATTATCCCCAATCTCTCAATTTTTTTCCTAGTTCTTCTAACTGTATACAGTATCCCTTCGGCTCCTTCACTTCATTATATTTTAATACAGAACTACAGTGATTCCCTTTCCTCATTAAGCCCTATTTTTCCCATTTCATTATCACTATAACATCACTTTGATATCAGACTCAAAATTATGAAGTAATTTATTTGCTCATTCTTTCAGCATACATTTGTCATATTGTATTCCTTACTTTTTCTATATGTATCTATGATAAAATATATATATATATATAGAACAGTTCTAACAATATGTTGTATTAAAAGTTAGGTAAATGTAGTCTCTCTCTGATGATAGAGACAGTCACTAACTGTCTGACAGGCTGGTAGCATATACAGCGGGGGTGCGCTGGACAAAAGGATCACTCGTGTCCCAGTGGGATGATGGTGTGAGGTGTCGTCATCATGCTCCTTAGTACAGCATGCAGTTTAAAACTTGAGAATTTTTTATTTTTGGAATTTTTCATTTAATATTTTTGAACTGCAGTTAACCATGGATAACTGAAAGCATGGAAAGCTAAATGGTTGAAATGGGGGACTACTGCTTTAGCATCTTACTGCTTATTATTATAATATCTATCATACTCTTTAGTATTCAATTATATCAGAATGTGATACTAAGAAAAACTAATTTTTCAGTAGTTGTTGCTTCTGCACATCCCTTTTCTCCTAATTAGATTTAAAGCTCTTTGTGAGTAAAGTGCTCCTGAGCCATACGGAATAACTCAGATGATCCTTAGAAGTAATATATGCTGAGTATATATTGTGCTTTCTATAGAATAAGGTTTTAAAAACATTTTTATTGAGTTGGTATTGGTCAATAAAGTTATATAGGTTTCAGGTGTTCAATTTTATAATACATCATCTGTATATTGTAGTGTGTGTTTACTCCCCGAAGTCAAGTCTCCTTTCATCACTGTTTATCCACCCTTTACCCTTCCTTCCCACCCCCTTTTCCTCTGATAATCACCATACTGGTATCTGTATGTATGAGTTTTTTTTGTTGTTTTTTGTTTGTTTGTTTAATCCCTTCATTTTTCCACCCAGCTCTGCCTCCCTCCTCTCTAACAGCTGATAGTTTGTTTTCTGTATTTGTGAGTCTGTTTCTATTTTCTTCATTAGATTCCACATATAAGTGAAATCATATGGTATTTGTCTTTCTCTGACTGGCTTGTTTCAGTTAGCATAATACTCTCCAGGTCCATTCATGCTGTTGCAAAATGTAAGACTTGCTTTTTTTAATGGCCAAGCAGTATTTTATTATGCAAATGTATCACAGCTTTCTTTTTCTTTTCTTTCTTTTTTTTTTTTAATCATCTTTTTACTGAGGGAGAGAGAGAAACATCAATGATGAGAATCATTGATTGGCTGCTTCTTGCACGCCCCCTCCTGGAGGTCCAGCCCACAACCTGGGCTTGTGCTCTAGGCCAGAATTGAACCCAGGACCCTTCAGTTTTCAGGCCAACACTATCCATTATTACAGCTTTTTTATCCACTCATCTACTGATGGCCACTTGGGCTGCTTCCACATCTTAGCTATTGTAAATGACACTGCAATGAACATAGAGGTGCATACATTCTTTTGAATCAGTGTTTCAGTTTTCTTTGGATATATTCCCAGAAGTGGAATTGCTGAGTCATAAAGCTATTCCATTTTTAATTTTTTTGCTTTCCACAATGGCTGCACCATCTGTATTCCCACCAACAGTATAAAAGGGTTCCCTCTTCTCTGCATCCTTGCCAACACATGTTTGTTGATTTATTGATGTTAGCTAATCTAGCAGGTGTGAGGTGATATCTCGTGAATTTAATTTGCATTTCTCTGATGACTAGTGACATTGAGCATCTTTTCACATGCCTGTTGGTCATCAGTATGTCCTCTTTGAAGAAATGTCTATTTAGGTCCTTTGCCCATTTTCTTATAGTAATTGGATTGTTGTAGGTTTTTTTAATGATTAGGAAAATTAGCTTATGTTTGGAGTTTCCAATGTGATCCTTTGGAAATTCTTCTTATTTTTTTTTACCTTGATTCTGTTTTTTTCCTTTCTATATTCAATTGCATCCTTTTTTCTTTCTTTCTTTTTTTTTTTTTTTTTTTTTTTTTTTTCATGTTAAGGGATGACAAAGTGACATTAGAATCCAATAAATTAAGTTTTAATTCTTAACTTGTTTTTTATGACAGCTTTGTACAGTAATGAGCTGTATCATTCACTATGATGATATTTCTGCTGCTAAATCTTGCTACTTTTCCTAGATTCTACCTTTCTTTATGGTAAGGCAGGTCAGGTGAATTTTACACAAAGATAGGGAAAATCTTAAAAGATTTCAAGACTCCACTGTTACCTTTTATTATGGACTATAGGCCTGGTGCATGAAATTCGTGCACGAGTAGGGTTCCTAGGCCTGGCCAGTTATCAGGGACTATTGGAGCCTTCCTTCCCTGGCTGCTAGCTGCCAGCTGGGGTCTTCCTTTGTTCCATGCTGCCCCCTGGTGGTCAGTACACATCATAGTGAGCGGTTGAACTCTCGGTCAGTCAAACTCCCGAGGGACACTTTGTATATTAGCCTTTTATTATTATATAGGATTGTTTTAGAGATTTTATTTTAATTTGTCATTAGTGTTTCTAAAGTAGATAAGCACCATAATTACACATACTTTTTTTATTAGTTATCTACTAGTGTGTAGCAATATTACCACAAATGTAGTGGCTTATAACAACACACATTTATTATCTTAGCTTCAGGGTCTGAGGCTTCTGTCAAGGTGTAGAGTAGAGCTGTGGTCTCCTCTGAGATGTGACTGGGGAAGGATTCACTTCTATATTCATGTGACTTTTGGGGCAGAATTCAGTTCCTTTCTGGCTGCTGGACTGAGGGTCTTAGTTTCTTACCTATTTGCCGTATGCACCTCATAACATCGCAGCTTGCTGTTTCACAGCCAGGAGGAGGAGGCTCTCCTCTAAGATAGGCTCTGCAGTTCTCTGTGATGTGATCTGTACACATAATCATCCTGCTGGTGAGAGCAAGTTGCAGGGGGATTACACTCAAAGGGGGATTACACAAGGGCATAAACTCCAGGAACTGGGACCACTCTGGACTATCTCTCCCGCAACTTACTTTGTATATCTTAACATGAGATTAATGCTTTTCTTATTCATTAATTTTTGCTACTTGCTTAGATGGAATGATTAACTTAGAATATTTTATTTTTCTAACCAGATTCCATTGGCCGTGACATCCCCAAAATGCTTGAATTATATAAAACTGGAATTGAAATTAAGGTAGATGAAGAAAGGGAGAACTTTCTCTCGACTAAAATAGCAACAGTAAGTTAACAGTGGAAATTATTCAGTAACCCTTTTATATTATTTTGCTTAAGTGATTCATTGATAATTTATAATATATCAGTCCTTTGAACTTGTTCTTGACACTAGCATTAGAAATGGCACATAGATTTTTTTTTTTTTTTTATTGATTGAACTCATAAATTTTAATGGTACTATAGAATTCCTTCTGAGTTAGGTGCTACTCACTGACGTTTACTTGTTACTTTGCTTTATTTCATTATCTATTCTATATGTTATTTCTGTCCCCTAATAGAGTAGGGTCTAGATCTTACATATGCCCTATAAGATCTTGCATAATGCTGAGCCCTTAATAGGTATTTAATACTACTTTAATGGAATTGAGTAATTTCCTTTATTTTTATGAATTATTTCTGATTATCTCTGAATAGTTTTAAAACCTTTTTGTCTATTTGCAGAAGATGCTAGAAATTAATTTTCAAAGCTACTTTTAGGAAACTACTATAGACCTGTCAAATACTTATAGGATTATGTTTTTAAATACACAGTTATTTGCTAATATCTTTTTTTAATATATATTTTTATTGATTTCAGAGAAGGAGGGAAAGGGAGAGAAAGATAGAAACATCAATGATGAGAGAGAATCGTTGATTGGCTGCCTCTTGCACGCCCCCCACTGGGGATTGAGCTTGCAACCTAGGCATGTGCCCTTGACTGGAATCAAACCCAGGACCCTTCAGTCCGCAGGCTGGTGCTCTGTCCCCTGAGCCAAAACCAGCTAGGGCTGTTAATATCTTCTTTATATTAAAGAATTTCTAAAATATCTATGTAATGTAATTTTATTTTGTGCAATAACTATAGGGATAATAGTAACATTGATAGCAAATTTTAAATTGCTTACCAAGTGCCAGGCACCATTCTAAATACTTTTTATATATTGTATCTTTTAATCCTTAAACCTGTGAGAGGTCAATTATCCCCATCTTATAGATGAAGGCATGGAAGCCCAGGGAGGTTCAATACCTTTTCCAAGATTTCATAGCTAGTACAAGGCAGAATAGGTATTTGAATCTTGGCAGTCTCCTCCAGATGTTCTTTACCTCTGTACCATCCAGCCTCATGGCTGGAATTATGTGAATAGTTGTTATATTCCTCCTCCCATCCTGCTCCTCAGAGGAATTATGCATTATAGCTAATTGAACTGTGCCCACTGTAGATCGTCAGCGATGTGGAAAAAGTGCTCAGATAGTTTTATGGAAAAAAAAAAACTTGCTTTAGAAAGGGGCAAAGCAGGTTTAATCCAGTCAGGGATTGGGAAACTGCTCATTGCCGTCATTACCATCAAAGCTCAGCTCCAGTTCATTTAGCTTTGACCTCTACTAGAACCTGATGTAGGAATTTCCTTATTCCCCATAGGCTCTTGGCAGTGCTTCTTGTTTCTTAGGGATGACAACATTGTAGTGTAAAACCGCCCCCCAAAAACAAGCAAGCAAACAAACAAACAAACAAAAAAAATACAAATTTTAAGAGAATATTCTGGAGCTATAGAGACATGGGTTTAGATACCAGTACTGCTACTTAAGGAATGGCAGATTTTAAACAAGTTTCTTAATGTTGTTGTCTCACATTTCCTCATTCATAAAACTTATATGGTAATATCTGTTTCACAATATGGTTTTAAAGATTAAATAAAATTTTAAAATGGTAGCAGCTATTGTTGTTACTCTTTTGGTTGGACTTTTGGGGGTTATAGAATAACTTTAGAAAACTCATTACAGCTAGATTTTTTCTTTTTAAGTAATGTTTTCAGTATATCCAATAGTTAACAATTTATATAGATCCAGACTTAGAATATCCTAAGTCATGGCATCTTAATCTTTTCAACAAATACTATAGTGACTAAGACATGGGCTTCAGCTCAGCCAGTGTGGCTGTGGTACAGTGGTTGAGTGTTGACCTATGAACCAGGAAGTCAGTTCAATTCCTGGTCAGGACACATGCACAGTTGCAGCTCAATACCCAGTATGGGGCATGCAGGAGGCAGCCGATCAACGATTCTCATCATTGATGTTGCTGCCCCTCTTTCCCTCACCCTTTCTCTCTGAAATCAATAAAAATATATTATTTAAAAAAAAAAAAGACATGGGCTTCAGATCAGATTCCCTGGATCTTTTAGAGATATAATCCTATATAATAAAATCCAATTATGCAAATCGACCGAACAGTAGAACCACCAGAACGACTGGTTGCTGTGATGCACACTGACCACCAGGGGACAGACGCCCAATGCAGGAGCTGCACCCAGCCCGCAGAGGGAGGCGACTGGTGGTGGCGTTGGGGGGGGGGGGGAGCAGAGGAAGGCCGGTGAATGGGCAGCACCAGGCCAGCCAAGGTGAGTGGCAGTGGGAGCCCCTTGATCACCCCGCTGGTCTCCCCAACAATCAACCCTGATCGCTGGCCAGGCCTAGGGACCCTACCTGTGCACGAATTTTGTGCACTGGGCCTCTAGTAATTTTTATAATAAAAAACTTATTCTGTGTGTTTAAACTGAATCTTTTTGAATACTACTTAAATATTGTAGTATAATAATGGGTTTTAGATTCGTACTGTCTGCTTCAAATCCTAGTTCCCGATTAGAACTCTGCCACCTTGCTCTTTGAGTTGCAGTTTCTTCCCATACCCTGTATATGTAAAATGAAGTTAATAGTGATACAGACTTTCTAGGCTAGGAAGGGATAGATAAAACGACATGGTAACTATCAAAGACTTTCTAGGTTGAATTGGAGTTAATAGGAACAGAAACATCAATGATGAGAATCATTTATCAGCCTCCTGCATGCCCCCTACTGGGTATTGATCCCACAACCCAGGCATGTGCCCTTGACCAGAATCAAACCCTGGACACTTCAGTTCACAGGCTGACTATCCACTAGCCAAATTGGCTATGGCAATATATTAACACTTCAAAGATGTGCAGCAGATCCATGGGATACCATTTAGCAATAAATAGGAACAAACTATGGATACATACTATGTTTGTGGATGAACCTCAAAAACATTATGCTTAGCGAAAGACACCAGACATGGAAATCACTTACTATGTGCTACTACTTATATGAAATATCCAAAAAAGATGTTTGTTTGTTTTTTAAGACAAAAAGTAGATTAGTGTTTACCGGGGATGGCAGCAGGAGGAAACAGGCATAGCATTAAATGTGCATAAGTCATGTTGGGTTGATGAAGATGTTTTAAAACTGCTTGCTGGTGATGGTTGCCCAACTTGGTAAACATATTAAAAAATAATATTTTTAAGCTCATTTTCTAAAAAGAAAAAACAGGGTAGGACAACTCATGTGTTTATACCAGATTATGTCAAGACCTGAATTAACTAATGTTTCTTGTCTGGGTTTCAAATATACTTGGATCTTTTACATACTTAATATAAAGGCAGTGTCTTTGATGTACTTTTCTCTCACTTGATTTTAACGTAGACATGGTCCATTCATAGGCATGTATCACTATACTTCGCTTGAGTAATAGTGAATTATTTTGTGGCAAGAATATTATCAACCTGGAAGCTGATAAAAGATGAAGTATATTCTAACAAAAATAAACAAGTTCAGGAAAAGGGGATAAGCATCATAAATCTTGTGTTGAAATCAGAGTCTTTAGTTTCAGCGAACATGTTAGAACAGGAAAAGTGAATGTGTTGGAGTTCAGTTAAACAAAATGTGGATAGTATATAGTGCATGGAAATTGAAGACTTATTTGGAAGCATCTAGGTCCATAAGTTGGAAAACTGTCAAGCAAGGAATATTGCTTAAATCAATTAGAAGCAATAATTAGCAAAAGATGGCAGCTCATTGGTTCAGGGATCACTGTTATTTCCCTTCCTTTTCCTCCATTTCTTCTGGTTGATGATTAACTTTTTTTTGGTTGCATTATTTTTGGAGTATGATTGTGTGCTGTGCCATGGATAAGAGGCTTATAAAGAGAAGAAGGTAAATTATAGAATGTAAAAATCAAATTCTGTACTTGTTAGTTCTCATTAAAATCAAAGGAAGTAAATTGGCAATAGATCTTAGAGCTCCAATAATATTGGACTAAGAACAAGGGGAAACTAAGATTTATTTAAAACTCAATATGTGCCAGCATTTTACTTGCTGCTTTGTTGTGAAAGATGTATATTTAACTGGGATGAGAAATCCTTATAGTATTTTAGGTTGCATTCGTTTGATGATTTTTATCAGTATTCTTACCATTAGGAATATTAGAATAAAAAAATAGTTTATTATTTCCAGTTTTCTTACCTATACTTTGTGAAATCAGATGATAATTTCCAAGATTTAGGGGCATTGAAAGTGTGTATCACCCCTTCTTTAGATAAATAATAGCATAAGAAAAACCATAGTATTTGGGAGAACAACTAACTTTCTTCTTTAATTCATTGCATTCGCTCAACAATGTAGTGATCACCAATCAGTAGAATAGCACAGATGACAAATAGTCATAATGTGTAAAAGGAAAGTGATCTGGCATGCTTTCCTTTCTTTGCTCATCCATCCTATATAATCCTATATAATAAAGAGGTAATATGCAAATTGACTGTCACACCCTCACACAAATAGCCGCCCCCATGTAGTAACAAGATGACCATCACAAGATGGCTGGCAGAGGAGGGCAGTTGTGAGTGATCAGGCCAGTAAGGGAGGGCAGTTAGGGGCAACCAGGCCAGCAGGGGAGGGTAGTTGGGGGTGACCAGGCCTGTAGGGAAGGGCAGAGGGGCGATCGGGCCAGCAGGGGAGGGCAGTTAGGGCAATCGGGCTGGCAGGGGAGCAGTTAGGCATTGATCAGGCTGGCAGGGAAGTGGTTAGGGGTGATCAGACTTGCAGGCAGAGTGGTTAGGGGCAACCAGGCAGACAGGCAGGTGAGTGGTTGAGAGTCAGCAGTCCCAGATTGTGAAAGGGATGTTCTTATGTGGAATCATGCCTAAACTGCCAGTCAGACATCCCCTGAGGGGTCCCAGATTGGAGAGGGCACAGGTTAGATTGAGAGACCGGGCCTCTAGTTTGTTAATAAGTAGTTGTCAGTATCCTGTCAACACAGCTTTCTTTTGTAAACTTTATTTAAAAAAAAAAAACACAAAAAAACAGTGATAACTATGGTAGCTTTTACAGAATTTTGTTTTTAAACAGCTTTATCATAAGCAATGGTGAAAGCTATTTGTTCCTTTAGATTTTGGTCAATTATTTGTTAAAGTGACATAAAACATAACTCATACCACAACTTGTCTTTGCATGCATTTTTATACATTTGTAGACAAATAGTGTATACTAATACAATAGTTGGAAAATCATGGCTTAATTGTCATTTTTAAAGTCATATTTGAACTTACAATGGCCTTTTAAAGGGTTGTAGAAAAAAAAAAAAGAATATGCAGCAGAAATTATATATGGCCCTCAGAGCCCAAAATATTTATATCAAATATAAATATCTGATCCTTTACAGAAAATGTGTGCCAACCCTAAAATATAAATACATAACTCATAAGCTTGGGAAGTTCCAGTTCCAGGTGAGGAGATAGAATGACATGACTCCCATCTCTCTCAGAATGCCACTATTATAAACCTGCACAGAATGCATGGAGCAGCTGTTCAAAAATGCTGAAAAGTAAATAGTGGCAGGGAAATTACGGAAGACCAGAATTTGAAGTACCACCAAACTGGCTGTGAGTTTGCCATTTTTCCCTTGTGTTGTCACATGGCCTGGTCTCAACTTAGACTGAAACGAGGCAGCAGACAGCAGTGCAGGCAGAGCGCGGCAGGCTTGAGGAGAGGTATGGGTCCTAGTAGTAGCAGTGGGTGCAGAGGGGGACCCAGGTATGCTGAGGTAGGGAGCCTTCCTCTATGACTAGAGGATCTGTGGTCACAAGAGGATGGGGCGCACTGCCTTTGCTTTTTTTCTTTTTCTTTTTTTTTTTTCTTTTCTTTTCTCTGTCTGCCTACCAGTTGGCCCCACTGCAGGAACAGTTGCAGAGAGTGGCAAAATGGGGGAGGGGGAGGTTAAAATAAAGCTCCAGCTTTCTGGGCAGACTGCCAAAAGGGAGAGCCCCAGGGAACCAGACAGTTCTAGGGAGATCAGGGAGAGATAGGAACTTGGGAAAGGGACCTCATGAAGTTATTTATGTCTTAGGAGACATGAATGATAATATCTTTGTAATGCTTAGAACGGAGCTTGAATAAGAGTAAGACCTAATAAACAGCTAGTTAATAAATCAGTTATTATTTTCCTTAGTGTTATATAGGACACACAGGTTATCTTCCTTTTCTTGGTTTAGATTGTTAGGAGTCATGGGGATTAAGAGTATTGGCCCATATGCAGCAACCATATGCCAGGCCACATTCATTTCTTCTTAGAACATTGCACTTGGAAGGGATTTTGGAGGTCAGATGTTCTAAAACATAAAGGAGCAGCCCTCTCTGCAGTTCCATTTAGAGATGATCAGCCACATACAGTGACAGAGCTGGCCACTTCGGGAGGGTCATGTGATTGTCTAACAATCATGTATACATATGTGCCCTTTTTTTCTAGCCTCTGTAAAATAAAATAAAAATTAAATTGAATCATTTTTTCACACTGTAGTCCTTAGTCATTCAGAATATTTGAACAGATTTAATTCTGTTTTCATGATTTTCAAAGTGTGGCCCCAAGATCTTGCTTCACTGACAGACTTTTCTCAAGACGCCTACTTTTTTCTTCCCCCTTCTTTTTATCATGAAGATATACCCTGAATTTTTTGTGTGTGCCTGTGTGCATTTTTCTGGAATGAGGTTTGATAACCTGAAGAACATTTAAGAACCACTGCTTTAGACATGCTCACGACTACAATTTGTCCTGCATACATTTGTGCCTCAAAGGGACAGAAAATGTTTTATAGTTTTCTCATAATGGTAGAAAGTGATTGGAGACAAAGTTTAGGAGTTTCACAGAAAGAGGAAAATCTGAGAGTTAAAGCAAAGAGGTAGAGTTCACGTATATTCACTGCACAAACCTTCTGGTTTCTGTTGTCAGTCTTCCATCTAGTCTGCTTAGGGAATTATTTCTGACATAATAAAAAATGTTAAGCAGAAGGTAGGATTCAGTGAAGCAGTCTTTTCTTGAAAACATCTATGCTGCAGATGAGGAATGACTTTTGTCCTGCAGTGGATAATTATTTTAGCTAAAGATAGTTAGTATTGTAACTATTATATATTCAAGTACACACATTATGCATATTGCCAGATATGGTGCTTAACATAGTTCAGTTACCCTTCAAGGTCAACCCAGTCCTGTTTCGTTGTTGTTTTAAGCTGCTGTACCAAGTCTCATGCTCTGCTGTTGAGAATAGAACAGATATTGTTTCCTCATAATGGTCATCCTTGACTTCCTTCATAAGACCACAAAATGTAATTGCATGGGAGAGCACCATTGGAAGTGCATAGTAACTGATGTTGCTTTCATGAGTTATCTCTAGATTGTTATCAGCCCAAATAAATTTCTCATGCATGCATACATTTTATAATTGTACAGTTATCATGTCATCAATAGCCAATTAAATAACCACAGTTATGCCCATAAAACATAACTTTTTAATAAGATTGCAAAGTACCTAAAAGAAAAACATAAAATGAAATATTATGGCTACAAATATAGTTTTAGTTCACTAGAGACATAGTATGCAGTAAAGATAGAGATAATATAATTTGCATAAAAGTATTAACTATTTTAAAACTTAATGAAATCATTGAAATCATTCTACTGATGAAAATTCTAAGGGAAGTATTTGTTTTTCATTTCTAAATCCATGTCATTATTAGTTTATTATAGGATTGGTAATATAGGTCAGCAGAAGTTATAAAGTAGTTACAAAAATCTGATAAATTTAGTTTATATAGCTTAACAAACTATTTAAAAAATTGTGCTGCACATCCTGCTTTTCCTTGTGTCAATTGCTATCCTAAATTTAGGGTAGATCTTGAGCAAAGGGTAAAAGAACTTATTAGTTCTGAGGTGATTGCTTCAGTTGATATAAAAGGAAGGCCGATTTGAGGTAAGGTGGAGAATTAAGGGGGAAATGAGTTAGGAACACATATTGATAACTTTGACATTTTGTTTTGTTTTCTTTTCTAACATAACAAATATCAGGTGCCTTGCCTGCCAGTGTACTACTTGCTACAATGCAAATTAAAGACTATCAGGTCCATGGGCTTGGTAAGGTGAACTAAGCATTGCTTGATACTTTTCTTCCCAGATTGGCATAAAAGTGAAAATTCCTCAAGTAATGACCATACCCTCTTATTTAGGGTTTGGTATTGCATCTTGCCCGAGAGAGTGTCAGGTAAATGTTGTCTGAGAGGATGAGGATATCTTTTTTCCCTTGAGGTATTATCTTTATGGTTATGGGACCCATTTCTCAGGGTCATTGGAAAAAAGAAATCTTGTTTGAACTTGAACTCTTACTATGTGGCTTTTTCTGGTTACACTATTATAAGTTTTAAATGAAATTTTAAAATATGGATTTATTTTATAAAGTACAAAATCCTCTAAATATTGAAATGTAATATAACTGGTTTTAAGTGGGATATTTAAGAATACCATGCATTGAATATGAATAATAAACATAAGGACTTTCTGAAGGTGTAATTTTTCCCAAGGTTTAGGAGTTTATGAATAGATCTTGTTTCCTGTATTTATTTGCTTGCTGTATTTTTTATTTTTTTTGCTAAATAGCGGGATAATTATTATGGCATAGAGTGTTAGCATAGCATCCTGAAAATGTCTCTGTGTGAGATTTGTGCTTGTCTGAATGTATGTAGTCAAGTCATTTTATTTTGATCTTGTGAAAGCATTAATTTCTAAACATTGTCTTTGTCTTATTCAAAAGTAAGTTAGTAACCTCAAAAGAAAATATTACTTATTTCTTGAGAGTTAGGGGTAAGAGGTGTGCCCGAGGATAAGTTTTGGGGAAATTACTTGGAAAGCAAGGAATCTCAAGTGTAATAACTTCAAAACATTTAGCTGTAATATGTTCTGTAAGGTAATTAAGTATTGGCATATAAAGACATATAAATGTAGCATTCTAAAAGAAGAGTTAGAGGCTTTTCTTTTACAGTAGGGACTCTTAATAGGTAATTTACATTAGTTGAATATTTGAAAAATACTGTCTAGAATAAACACTGGTACAGTTACCAAAATTGTATTATTTTTTTCACCTTCACGTCATTAATGCTATATATTTTTTTAAAGCTGGATATGTCAAGTGACCAGATAACTGCCAATCTGCAAGCTGTTATCAGTGACATCTGTAGGCACAGACCGCTGAACTTGGGTGAGTGGGTAGCAGGGTTAGACTTCCCTGTAGCCCTGTGATACTTTAAAAATGTAAAATATTAAGACAACTAAGTCATATGCAACTACAATAGCAACAGTATTTCCAGGGATTAAATAAATAGCATTTAATTCTTCAAGGGATTCTTTTCTTTCTTTTTCTTTTTAATATATTTTATTGATTTTTTTTTACAGAGAGGAAGAGAGAGGAATAGAGAGTTAGAAACATCGATGAGAGAGAATCATCGATCAGCTGCCTCTTGCACACCCCCTACTGAGGATGTGCCCGCAACCCAGGTACATGCCCTTGACCGGAATCGAACCCTGGACCTTTCAGTCCGCAGACCGATGCTCTACCACTGAGCCAAACCGGTTTCGGCTCTTCAAGGGATTCTTAATTATCTTATTAACAACTGTAGTTGTTTAGAGAGAAGACTCTTTAACATTAGTGGGAGTACTCTATATCCCTGAAACCATTGTAAATTCCCACCTGATTTCTTCCATTACATGTAATAAATAAAATTTGAAGGAAAACGGTAACTGATGGCCTTAAACTTACAATGGCATTAAATAGAAAATAAATAAAACATAGAAATGGTATGAAGCCTCACCACTCACTTTGCCACTGGCACTAGCTTTCTAAATCTTACTTATTTCAGAAAAGAGATGAGGTTTTAATCATGTCATGAGAACAGTGAAACGTGATCGAGGCTGTGTAGTAGACTAGGCGCACGTCCAGTGCCCCTGTCATTGCGTACGTGCTACTCATTCCTTCCCGAGGCAAGTTTCACTCGCAGCTGTTTGAAGCCAAGCAAGTGTCCTTATCTTCAATGGACTATCCACTTATAACTCTTTCCTTAAAGGAATCTGTCACTTTGAGTTTCATAACCAAGTGACTAACTACATCACAGTATTTCACTATTTTTCACTTTCTTTGAGAGTTAAAACACACTGATGATAACTACCTTATTTGCTAAGTCTGTTGTCCTAGATTTGACCATAGTGCCTAGTAATGGTATGTATATGGATTTTTGTATTCCATAGATTACTTTGGTTTGAGTATAGGCTCCTCTGAGACTCTAGCGGAGTAGAATGATAGTAAATCTCTAAAAACAATGTAGTTATCTGGTTTTTGCCATTTTGAACAAAGTCCTTTAACATTAGTCATAGGGAAAAACCTAATTTCTTTTAATTTTTAGGAATTTTTATTAAATCTGTGTTGACTACTTTAAATAAATATTTAGACTATTTTCATCAAATGTAAATATTACTCACCTGCTCTTTCATTGTTGACTTTGCTATAAAATAAATTGTTAAGTCTTCATATTCTGGAAGAGAGAAATGAATTATTCGTGATTATGTGTAGTTTAAAGAATAAATCTGATATTCTAGAGTGTAGCTAGTTTGTCTTCTATTCTAGAAGTAAAGTGATTTTTCCTTTCTTATACTTCAAAATATTAATTCAGTAATGTCAGTACTTATAAGCTATCTCATGAGTTCTATAAGGTTTATTGTTTTATGTTTATATTTGCTTATTAGATATCTCGAATAAAATGAAAGTTGACTATTCTCTCTGTTTCCAGGACCCTTTGTGGTACGAGCTTTCCTTCGTAGTTCGACAAGTGAAGGTTTGTTACTAAAGATGGAGCCATTTTTGCCTAAAGAAGTGAAAACCAAAGAAAGTAGCACAGAAGCTGCCTGACAGTGTTGTATTGTAAAATTATTCATAGTGGATGAAGAAGCAACAGAAAAATTATAAAACTGTATAATTTTTATGTTTGATTTCTTGTTATTTATTTATGAACTAGGGCCCATTGCATGAATTTGTGCACATTGGAAGGAACTGTGGGCTGCAAGGCTGTGGTAGGCACAGGGGTGGGTCTCAGCCCATCCTCCATGCTCCCGCCTGGCTCCTTCTGCTGTGGCTCCCAGTCCCCTGTTTGCCAGCAATCCCGTTCCCGCCTCCTCTCCCTCTTGCTGACAGCAGCAGCCCTGCTTGCACTCACTGACAGTGTGGAGTGATGGGAGCTGGTGCCAGCAGTGTGTGCTAGTGATGGCTGCTGCCCCGATCGCCCCTCAGGAGCAGAGGAAGGTGGAGAAGCCCTTGGGTGATCAGGGCTGGCAGCCGCAGCTCGCACCCGCTGATGGCACCTAGTGATTGGGACTGGTGCTGGGCACTGGCAGTGGATGCGAGTGGTGGCTCTGGTGCTGGTAACAGGTACAAGTGTGACCAGTGCCAGCAGAAGGTGTGAGAGCCAGATGGGACCATGGTGCATGAGAGCAAAGAATTTTCAGTAACTATCAGAGGCTCACTCTGCTAATAGCGACCGGCACCCCGACTTGGTCTGGCGCCCCTGCTTACCTGCTTCACCATCCCGCTGCGGTCGACACCCGCCCTGTTATGCACATGCCCCTGGTGGTCAACACACATCATAGTGACCAGTTGTTTGGTTGTTCCACTGTTCGATCCTTTTACGATATAGGATGTATGTATTTATTTATTTTGTTAATCCTCACCCAATCCTGACCCATTGATTTTTAGAGAGAATGGAAAGGAGGGGGAGAGACAGAGAGAGAAACATAGATGTGAGAGAGAACCAGCAGTTGGTTGCCTTCAGCACAGACCCTGACCAGGGCTGGGGATCAACCCTGCACCCCAGGTACAAGCCCTTGACCGGAATTGAACCCATGATCCTTCAGTCTGTGGGCTAATGCTCTACCCACTGAGCCAGACTAGCGCTTTTTTTAAAAATTTTTATTTACTAGTATTAATTTCAGAGAGGAAGGGAGAGGGATAGGTAGAAACATCAATGACGAGAGAGAATCTGATATGCCACCTCCTGCACACCCCCTACTGGGGATAGAACAGGAAACCTGGACGTGTGCCCTAAGTGGGAATCATGACTTCCTGCTTTGTACTTCATAGGTGGATGCTCAACCACTGAGCGACACTGGCTGGACTAGGCTGTCTTGTTATTTTTTGATCATCTTCCTTAGAAGTGGATTTTAACACTGGAAAATCTTACAACACTTTCAAAAATAAGAAAATTAAATTTTCTCTGTGTCTGAGCCTGCCTTTAGATCTTTTTAAATCTTCCTTAGAATTCAGCTTTTACATGCTGAATTATTATGTTATTATAGCAGCAATTTTTAGCTTAATAACTTTGCCTTGAGAATTATAACATCTGAGGGAAAAGAAACATCCTCAATTCCCATAAGAGAGAATGGCAGAGTAGTGAAGTACATCACAAATATGACTATTTTCTAAAGAAAAAATATGGAAAATGTTCATACTAAAAAATTCTGAATGTTATTTGATGTAACATGAATATAGAAAATGACTTAAACCATTTAAATGTAGGTATAAAATCTTTTTATTTCCTCTTAGGAATCAATATATAATATTTTTATTTTTATAATAACAATACTGTTTGTTTTTATGGTGCTTTGCGATATACAAGCTCTGTGCATAGTGTTTTCATATACTTAACCTCATTTGATTCTGAATTCCTCTGCTTAATAGGAAGTAATCACTTTGCTTAGTGTTTGTTGAATAAACATCCCAGGAGGTAGCTAGAACAACCTCCTGTATGGATGAAGAATCAGGTTAAGAAGTTATATGTCTTTCATCAAGTGCCAGTTTGCAAACTGGTATTGGTCCTCAAATGTTTACTGATAGAGGACAACCCAAGGGGTAGGGGGAAAGGTAGATAATTTTGTCATACAGTTGCCAACTGTCCTTTCTTGGTAATGATTTCTCATTCTGAGGCTGTCTTTCACTTTTTTTAGGATGTTCAAATGCTCTTCATGAAATAACAGTACTGATAAATTTGATGGTGGGTTTTAGTAACAGCCAGTTTGTGAAGAATATATTGACAGCTCCATGTAAGTCTCCCAAGTTGTTTTTGAAATTTTAGTATTTTGAGAAGTCCAAATAACTGTGCAAGCACTGAACCTCGGTAAGCTTTTTTTCCTACAGAGAAATTAAAATTTAAAGGCTGTTCACAAAAAGCAGCTAACTACATTAACTATAAAACAATAATGGCAGTTGCCTTCCATCTTATGCTTTATCTGCGTGTCTCATTTCATCCTTACAGCAATCCAGGGAAGAAGAGAGTATTGCTCCCATTTTATAGATAAGGCAGTTTAAACTTGTAGGAGGTCCCATACATGGCAAGCTAAGATTCTAAACTAGGTCTGTCTGATTTTGCAGCATGTTCTTTTAACCATTAGGCTATTTTTCTTTCTGTTTGTATATTTTAGGTAAATTTAACTGCACTTACAATTTTAAAATATTGAATAATTACACCTCAGTTTCTTAGTATCTGAGATTATGGGGTAATGATGGCTGAAGAGAAGAAAGTAGAAATAAAAGGGGTGGGATGAATAAGATAAGAATAATGCAGGATGGATAAAAACACTAATTTTCAAAATCACATAATCTTACCACTCATAGGTAACCAGCGTTAATATATTTTTAATATATATATTTTTTTTATTTCAGAGAGAAAGGGAGAGGTAGAGAGGAAGGGAAACATCAATGATGAGAGAGAATCATTGATAGGCTGCTTCCTGCATGCCCTCTGTTGGGGACAGAGCCAGTAAACAAGGCATGTACTCTGATGTGGAGGGAATCCAACCATGACCTTTGGGTTCATAGGTTCATGCTCAACCACGGAGCTACGCCAGCCAGGAGTATTGAAATTTTGATGCTTTCCATTGTCTTTTTCAACTGACAGAACATTAACACATGTATTGTTATCAAACAATTCTCCTTATATAAATTTTATATGAAAAACACCCTTTGAATGGTTAAAAAAGATTCCATCCTGTTGATGCTTTAATTTATGCAGTCATTTCCCGGCTTGGGAGCATGTAATAGTTTGGATCTTCCTTCCCCTCTTATTTTTAATGCTTTAGAGAAACTCTTTGGGCAAAATTTATTTTCTCTATTTCTAGAAGTGACATTTCTGGGTTAGAAGTATGACATGGCTTAAGGTCTTATGTTTTAAAAAAGATGCCTTTTGATCAAAACAAGAGAATATGGTGGGAAAACTTTCTCTGGGCAAGAACATTCCAGGGTCTTACTAACTGGCCTATCCTATCTAATAAAAGAGTAATATGCAAATTGATCATCACTCCAACACACAAGTGCTGCCCCTATGTGGACAGAAGATGGCTACCACAAGATGGCCAGCAGGGGAGGGCAGTTGTGGGGAGACCTAGGCCTATAGGAGAGCAATTGGGGGACCAGGCTTGCAGGAAAGGAAAGTTGGGGGCTACCAGGCCTGCAGGGGAGGGAATTTGGGGGATGGGGAAACCCAGGCCTTCAGGGTTGGAGCAGTTTGGGGGACAGGGGGGAACCAGGCCTGCAAGGGAGGGCAGTGTGGGGTGATCAAGCCTTCAGGGGAGGGCAGTTTGGGGGGACAGGCCTGCAGGGGAGGGCAGTTAGGGGCAAACTAGGGGAGCAGATAGGCATCAATCAGGCTGGCAGGGGAGTGGTTAAGAGGTGATCAGGCTGGCAGGCAGAAGGGGTTAGGGGCAATCAGGAAGGCAGGCAGGCAGGCAAGCAGTTGGGAGTCAGTAGCTGGATTGTGAGAGGGATGTCTGACTTTAGGATGTAAAGTTGTGATAAAAATCAAGATTTTAAAAGACTGAGATAAAAATACAATAGCACTATATTTAAGAGCCAGGACTAGTTTCTAGCTTTCTAGTTTATCCCTGTGTGTAAATAACTTAAATTCTGTGTTCCAACCCTCTGGAAAACTAAAATAGGGATTTTCTATTAAAGAAGGACATCATTCAGTGATCACCAATGTACTTTTTTTTTCCCCCCCTGATCTGCTAGGATTTATTTTCTCAAACATTGTGGAAAAACAAGTAAACTCAGGAATATGTTTTTAAAAAGACTAAATGTAGTAAGGCAAACAGGAAGTGACCAGTTTTATACACATACCACAACTTTTTTTATCCATTTGTCTTCAGATGAACAATTCCATGTCTTGGCTGTAACAGGTAATGCTGGGTACAGAGTAGGTAATATAATCAGTAATGAACTAACTACTTATTGTTCAGATGGGTACTAAACTTACAGGGGTAAACACTTTTAAGTTATAGAAATGTTTAATAACTATGCTGCACATATACCACTAATATTATTGTCAAGTATAATTTAACAAAAAAATAAAACAGAAGTGGCCAATTTTTACTTTATCCTATATGTCTATCTACTGCATCGAAGTATTTTAGTGTATATTTTGTTTACATCTTAAAATACTATCTTGTTCTGGATCACACAACATTTTGAAGGACTTAACAATTTCTATTTTTAAAACTAAACTTTTTTTAAAAAAATATATTTTATTCATTTTTTTTACAGAGAGGAAGGGAGAGAGATAGAGAGCCAGAAAGGTTGATGAGAGAGAAACATCGACCAGCTGCCTCCTGCACACCCCCCATGGGAGATGTGCCCACAATCAATGTACATGCCCTTGACCGGAATCGAACCTGGGACCTTTCAGTCCGCAGACCGACGCTCTACCACTGAGCCAAACTGGTTTCGGCTAAAACTAAACTCTTACTACTAACTACATAAACAATAATAGATGTGCGATTCATGTCATTCATAAACTTCTATACTTTGTTCTAGATCTAAATAAACATTCTGTCTAAAACAGGGGTACGGAACTTCCAGACTGTTGGTCACATAACAATCTCAAAATGATTTGGTCTGGCCCTGCCAAGGCATTAGAGTTAATTAAATATTTGACCAAAAGCAGCAGGCTACTTTTTAAGTTGATAATTTTGTATGACTCACGAATAACGTCTTAAATACCCAAACAGCACATGGCAGAAAAAAAGGTTCTCCGCACCTTGTCTAAAAGAACACAACTTGAAAATACAAAACACCCCCAAAACAAAGATAAGACAACAAGGTATTTTTCATATTATGAAACTGCTTAACAGGCCTTTCATCCCAAAACTGAAGACTCCACCTCGAGTCCACTCAGGGTGTGGGCAGCAGTTGGACATATTATCAATCTCAAACCTTAGGAGCCTTAGGCTTTACACTGGAGTCTCCACTGGCCATGGGAGGAGTGGCAGTCATGAGTACAGCTTGGGCTCTTGCTTGCTTTCTCTCTTCCTCATCTTGCAAAGCCTCTTCATAATGGGGTGAGTAATCACTGGGCAAGGTATCATTGAGATCGGCTAAAAACTCCAGGACTTGCAACTTGCTGGTCTCAGCGTGGGCTCTTGCACCCCACAGGAACTCGTAGCGTGGAGGATCACTGTTGGGCACCGGCTGGTACACCAGGTATTCTTCCTGCACCATATCTTGAGTGAGAAGCTTCCTGGGCTCCCCAAAAATGAAGTGAGCCTTTCCATCATAGATGCCCAAATCACCCAGGAATTCCCAGATCTCCTCTTCAGGGGCACGGTTGCCATTCAAGAAGATCACAGCCAGGAGAGGCATCAGAATCCTTTTGTTAGGAAAACTAAAGCCACAGCCTACACTCTCATCGCTGCTGTCATCTTGATTGCTGACAAGGGTATAGTAGTTACCGTTGGGCTTCACTTCTTTCACTTGCAGGCCAAAGAACCGATCCATGCGCTCAGGGGCTCTCCTGAGAATTTCAGGGAAGTCCCAGAACCACTTGTGGATGATCTCCAGCATGTCTCCCTTTTTAATGGGCTCCTTCTTTTTATATTGATACAGCAGGTACTCTACTGTCATAATCGCCTTTTGATTTAGAATTCTTTGGCCAGAACTCTTAGTGGAAGTTGAGGCCCGAGAGGAATCTTTTCCTTTCCTAACACGGCCTTTGGCTTTTACAGCAGGTCTTTCACCTGAACCACCTGCAGCGGCACTGGTGGTGGCTGGGGCATCCTGAGGTGCCCGGACGGTGCCATCACCAGAGGACATTGAGACTTCGGAGGCTTTTTTACTTTTCTGAACCTGGCCTTTGGCTTTTACAGCAGACCCATCACCTGAAGCACCAGCAGCGGCACTGGTGGTGGCTGGGGCATCCTGAGGTGCCTGGACAGTGTCAGCACCAGTGAAGGTTGAGGGACCATCCCCCAAAACGGAAGAGGAGGAGCAAGCAGCCTCCTTTCTCTCCTGCAGGGGCCTGACACTCATATCACCTTGTTTCTCAGCTCGATTTTGGCGGCGTTTCTCCCAAGCACGGAGTTTACTCTTAGGACCACGAGGCATGATGGCTGTTGTTGAGGACAGCAGACAGGTGATTTGAGCACCTGTGTAAGTTTTCCTCTGAATTTGCCTTAACGAAAGTCATGTCACTTTCAAGGCCAGTGCTAGACTTTTTGCCGCCACTTCACTCGAAGCCAGTCCTGCGAAGCCCTCAGGCAGTTGTCACACCCGCGCACCTCTCTAACAAAAATTTTGATATATCTTTTGTAGGTGGCATTTCATGCTGTTAGAAATTGTATCATATAACATTTTTAATTAACATTATGAGTGTAAACACACACATAAACATAAATTTAATAGTATTGGCATTATCTTAAAGACCAAAGCCTTGGGATAGGATAGGACTGTGGTCGGCACACTGGCTCGTGAGCCACATGTGGCTCTTTGGCCCCTTGAGTGTGGCTCTTCCACAAAATACCACGGCCTGGGCAAGTCTATTTTGAAGAAGTGGCGTTAGAAGAAGTTTAAAAAATTTGGTTCTCAAAAGAAATTTCAATCGTTGTACTGTAGATATTTGCCTCTATTGTCTAATGAGTTTGCTGACCACTGGGATAGGAGAATCTATTCAATAGTGATTTTTAAAATATAAGTAGTTAATCACAATGTCCAGTAGGTGGCGATAATAACCTTTCATGCAACTTGAAAATAGTGGATTTAATGGTAAAAGATTTTTTCATTTTACTATACAAATTAAATAGCAAGAATACTTATAGACCTCTTGGCGTTTTGTTTTGGTATGATTTTTTTGTTGTTGTTTATTTTCTATTTTGGGCACTACAGTGGTTGCTTTAAGTTGTTTCTGAAACTGCATATTAAGGGTTTTATCTGTTTTTGTTTAACTTTTAATGTAGAATCAAATATTTAGAAAATTTAAAAAATAAAATAACCCCTATTTAGTCACTACCAAGCTTTCACAAATATCAATATTATGTTGTTCTGGTTACATCTATCCATTTCATCTACCCACCATCCCTAGCTTGTCCTCAGTCCTGCTGGAGTAATTAAAGGAAGTTCTGTATATCATATCCCTTAACCTATAGAGTAGAATAATCAAACCATAATTACAAGAGGATTTTAGGTCCATTTTGCAGAACCTATTGTGTTTGTATTCTATTCTGGCCTTTGAGAGCATTTCATTCTTTTGGTTTATATTCTTTTATGTAATAATGAAAAAAAAACATGTTTTTAGTGTTCTGAGAACTTAAAGAACATAGTTATACAATTAGCCACAAAAGGTGGTATGAGTATCAGTACTTAAAAAAAGAAATTACTATTTCCACTTAAATTTTTATTTTTGAATTAAATAGAAGATTGGAAATAAGATTAGAAATTTAACTATGATTATAATTTAAAATATTAAATTTTCATCTGAAGGAATCCAAAAGAATGAAATTTTTACTGTATTTTATTTTTAAAAATTGATGCACATTAAATAAATTTGGCAAGTAGAGAAAGGAAGAACACTGAAGGATCTGAAGAAAAACAATGACCTCACAATTCTTTATGTAATGACATTTTTTAATACTTCCCTTTTCTCTCTTCCTGTGTGGAGGTCTTTCCCCACATCACAGGCTGAGGCCATGGTGGGTGCCCTGTAGGAGAGAAGACGTCTTGACTCTGGAGATCGGTCGGATCTCCAGCTCTTTAGTTACTTTCAATTGAGAAAAGCCAACCCAAGTCCTTTCCAAGTAATTACTAATTGAAAGATCTAATTCTTTTTGTATTTCAGTATGTGCTACATAAAGTTTATATTATTCTTTTCTAAGTTGGTAACTGCTTTAATGAAAATTAATTTATGCAAATATTTACGTTAAATAGAATATAACCTAATATTTCTCAGAGGGCACTATGTATAGTGCATTAGTGGCACGAGAGATTAATTTTATTTTATTTTTTTATTTTTTATTTTAAAATATATTTTATTGATTTTTTACAGAGAGGAAGGGAGAGAGATAGAGAGCTAGAAACATCGATGAGAGAGAAACATCAATCAGCTGCCTCTTGCATACCCCCTACGGGGATGTGTCCACAACCAATATACATACCCTTTCCCGGAATCGAACCTGGGACCTTTCAGTCCACAGACCGACGCTCTACCACTGAGCCAAACCGGCTTTGGCGAGAGATTAATTTTAATAGTAAGTGATCCACATTTTAAATTAATAGTTAAGTAATTGTAATAGTAAGTGATCCACTATTTTAAATTAATAGTTAATGTGTATAGGATCATGATTTCATGCATATTACTGCTTAGGATAACATTACAGTAGGCGAGTCTTTGTAGTCCATTTAAAAATATTAATTACATCAATATGTAAATTATATAAACTGTTTTTCAGAAGTGGCTGCCTCATTTTACATTCTCTCCAGCAATGCATAAGAGTTCCACTTTCTCCACATCCTTGTTAACCACTTTGAATGGTCTGTCTTTTATGCTGTAGGCATTCTAGTGAGAGTGTGGTAGTCATACATGTTTTAATCGAGAAAACAAATTAATTTGCTGAGAAAGTATTTAAGGATAAATGAGAGTAGTTTTTAAATACGTGCCATTTGGAAGGTAGAGTACACTTATGCTATGAGCTTCCAGAAATAGAGCTGGGACTGATGTAGATAATAGAGAAGCAAGTTCTGGAGCAAAGTTAAACAAAATGCTGGGGACTCTTATAAACTAGTGGTGACCTTTTTATTTTATGTATTTATATGCAGCCCTGTCAGTGTTCTTCAGTTACAATCAACATCAGTGACTGACTGACTAACCCAGAGAGGACTGTATTGTGAGGACATGGGGTAATTCACAGAATTGGAAGCAGCTCAGCTCTAGGAATCAATTGGCAGTGTCCCCAGAGAGATGCTGTCAAGGCAAATCAGCTGTTTTCTGACCTCCTGTTCCTCCACTCAGGATTCTAAGGGGAGAGAGTCTGCTTGGCCTAGTTTAGCTTACATGTCCACTCCTTGGTCAGGAGAAGGCAGCGTTGATAATCTCATCAAAAGTACATGCGGTAGGGTGGAAGAAATCCCAGGGGGGTATTGAAGTACCTTTACCAAAAAAAGAAAGGGCTACTGGGTGCTGGGCTGGCAAAACCAATCAATGCCCACTGTAGCAGGCCACCACCTCTGATGAATATTTAGGGAGAATCAGTGACAATGACAGGAGGCTCCACAAACCTCTAAGGCTCATTCATTCATTGAATATTTATTCAGTGTCTCCTAGGATGTCTGAAATCCATAACTATATTAAGTTTGTTACTCTAAAAGTTTTTTACATTCAAAAAATATAAAATAATTTAATGTAAAAGAAATGTTGCCTTTTTTGGAGGAGAGAAATGTCAATTTCATTTTATTAAACGTACACACATGAACAGATTCCATGGTAAATCAGAGCAACATTTGCATGATTTCCCCACCCAGCCTCCCTGTGGCTTCATGAGAATCTTCTATACTTGTACAAATTATGTCCCTTGATCTATACAGTTTATTGCCTTTTGGCATATGGAGGGTTTCCATATTTATAAGTAGATAGTATTATACCGTATACATCACTTTGCAATTTAATTTTTTAAATTTAATTTAAAAAAAATCTTATTGTTGAAAATATTACATTCGTCTCTCCCCCCCCCCAACACTGATCCTTTCTAGCCCACCCCTGCTCATCCCCTTGCCCCCGCACCCTTACTCATGCCCCCTGCCCCCGCCCTGGGCCTTCACCGCACTATTGCCTGTGTTCATGGGTTATGCATATACGTATACAAGTTATTTGGTTGATCTCTTCCCACACACCCACCTACCCAGGCCTCTCCTTTGAGATTTGACAGACTGCTCCATGCTTCTATATTTCTGAATCTATGTTGTTTGTCAGTTTATTTTGTTCATTTGATTCCACGTGTGAGTGATATCATGTAATACTTGTCTTTCTCTGATTGGCTTATTTTGCTCAGCATAATAACTCTCTAGGTCCCTCCATGTTGTCTCAAAGGGTAAGAGATCCTTCATTTTTATTGCTGCATAGTATTCCATGATGTAAATGTACCACAGCTTTTTTAACCACTCATCTACTGATGGGCACTTGGGCTGTTTCCAGATCTTAGCTATTGTAAATAGTGCTGCTATAAACATAGGGGTGCATATGTTCTTTCTGATTGGTGTTTCAGGCTTCTTAGGATATATTCCAAGAAGTCGGATCACTGGTTCAAATGGCAGTTCCATTTTAATTTTTTTGAGAAAACTCCACACTGATTTCCATAGTGGCTGCACCAGAATGGCTGCCTCTGGCAAGGCTGTTGAGAAAAAGGAGCCCTAGAACACTGCTGATGGGGATGCAATTAATTTTCTTACTCAACATTATATAGAGCAGTATTCCATGACCACTGCATTTTAAAGAATGCTTTGTGGTACTCCATAATATGAACATACCATGGTAGGTAGTATATTAGCAGATATGTGTTACACTCCCTATTGATAGGCAAGTCATATTGAAATTGGTGAGAACCAGTGATAAAATGAAACTCAAAGAGCAGTCAGAGAAACACACACCAGGGTTACTGAGATCAGAATTACTACATATTTCTTGTCAGCAATCATGCAAGCCAAAAGGAATGGAATGATAACTTTAGCATGTTTTTTTTTTTTAAAGTTAACTTAGGATTCTAAGTGAAAATATCCTTATAAAAGCACAAACATTTTTTTCCCCAGCAGACATGAATTATATGAAATATTAAAGGAAGTTGTAGGGAAAGAAAATGATGCCAGATATACAATCAATTCTGTACAAATGTTGAAGAATGCTAGAAATATGTGGAAAATACAAAAGATGTTTTTCTCATTTTATCATTTATATTAAAAAATACCTTTTAAAATAAGATGTAATAACACTAAATAAATTTAGTGAACATTCATCACCACACATAGTTACAATTTTTTTTCTTATGATGAGAACTTTTAAGATCTACTCACCTAGCAACTTTCAAATGTACAATACAGTATTCTTTTTTAAAAATATATATTTT